CTATTTATACTAATAAGAAGATAACTATCTAATGAGACTTTATAGCTAATCTTCTATTAACAGATAACGTTTATCTAAACTATGGATAAGCTTTAATATCAAAGATAAACTCGAAGTCTAGCTGTTGATTTGTCATCTCCAGCTGTCATTCATGGTGTGATGTATCATCCTTATCTTTAAGTCTTCATCGCATGCTTCTGGATGAATTGCTAGAAAATACTCTAAGTATAGTTGACCAGAGGTTCGATGGAGATGCTCTTTCCATCGCATCCTTGTCGTCCATCGGTTCTCTGGTTGTGCTCCAGACTTAGCCGTTTCTGCCTTGATGTCTTTATATGTCTTCTGGTTCTTCATCACTTATTGTTTTTCATTACTTTTTACATTATGTATTATGGGGTTTAACAATCTCCCCCTAAGTAATGAAATAACAAACATATACTAATCTAGATACACTTGTGAAGAACATAGACTAAACTAATAGAAATACACCAAATTTCCAATTTTCATTGGCTGATGAAATTCTTACAATACTGGAATCAAAATACATTAAGGCAAAACAAAAATACAACTCATCATGAGATATGGCTGTGTGCGGTCAAGCTGTGTGCGGTTTAACCTTCGAGACTCGAAACCGATTGATGAGCGGTGAACAATCCGTTCAAAAGATGAGAGAACAAGATGAACAAGATTAGAATCCGATTGAAGCTTCTGCGGTCAAGCTCTGATTTCTTCCTCTGATTTCTTGCAAACGCGCTTTGATACCAATTGTGAGTCCCTATATCACTGATCAATCTTCAATCTTCATAACAATATGGAAGATTCAGAAATGGCATTCAAGAACATGAAGAACATTGAGAGAGAAAGTCAATCCTTACAAATCAGTCAAACCTCTCATTTATATACGTAATATTACAATGAAGCTATCCTCCTTCTAATTACGAAGACCACCTACTATTTATATGGTCAACATACTAAACAATAGTCAAAGTCAAACTTCTATAAGAAAGTCAAACACGCTGACGTTTACAATTATAGACTATATTTAACTTTCAAGACGAATACAATTAATACTGATTTTTCAGTCCTAACATTCTCCCCCTTTGTATTCAGACTTGAAAGAAAATTCTGCGCTTTGAGTCCTTGTTTGAACTTTGAAACATTATGCACAATATGTCTTCTTTCAAAAGAAAACATCTCTCAGTCGTTGTAGCACACAAATAATCTTTCTGCGATTATCTTCAGTCACACTTCTTTTGAGTCTTTTGCCAACGCTGAAGTTACTCCCCCTTGATCTTTGCATCAAATCCCTTTTAACAATGTTCGAAAATGAATATTTCATTCATTATTACATATACTCCCCCTTATGATGAAATRASAATCATTCCATCATACAAAAGATGAATGAAATTTTCCGTGTAAGCCGTCAAATCATGAAACTGTGAGTAGATCTTTGCAAATCCACTTATTTAATCTTTTCAGATTAAGGGAATGGGAAGGTAACATCCAATTTCAA